CTCCTGACTCCAAGGAAGCCTTCCTTCATCCAGGAATCGAACTTTCCACCCTGAGGTTGCAAGCCCAACAATGCCCGTCCTTTGCCAACTCAGATGTGCCCCGGGAGGCTTCTCTTTCTAAATTTTATTTTGATGTTTGTTTAGTACACAGTATTATTTTGGTTTTCTTGTTTGTAACAATTCTTCGACACACATTGTTGAGCACGTTTTGATAGATTTTGAAAAGCTGGTCTAGACCGACCAATTCATCTGAAGAGGTGTAGTTAATTGGATTGCAAATAAACCGGTTAACTAATATTTTTCTCCTCTTCGAACTTACATTTGTTTTTCTAGTTAGTAATGATCGTCGGATGGAAATAAAATTCAACATAAAATTTTGACTTTCTGAAAAAAAAAATGGTTAAAGTAACGCTATTTATCTAAGAGTTTAGATAACCATCAATTTCTGTGTCAGTGGAATCACTGTCATGTTATCCAATGAATTTTGAATACATTTTTATTCACTTTTAAAATTGAACAATATGACATTGCCACATGGATCGATAGTCATTTACTCTAAATAAATATTATTATCCAAAAAATATATTAGTTGTTGCTTCAATGTTTTCCTCTTTTTTTCTTGAACTCTTGTTGTCGATTTTTATATCTTGTAAGTGTACGGATCATAACAAGTAACATGGTGGATCAATGAGTCTGGATATCGTTCCCACGAGAACTATTATCTAACAATTGATTAAATTATTCGTAACTTTAATTTGATCGAAAACAAATAATAATATTTGTGATTGATATGTATATTATTCTAATAAACTAAATTATATAAAGTACATAATTTATCGAATTTGGGTTTTAAAAGTATGAATGTGAATGTTAGGACTTACAATTTTATTGTTGAATCATCTTTAATTCACCAATCAAGATTCATTACTATTGTAGTGTTCGATCAAATTCTTTTATTGTATTCAATTTACCCATCTCGAGTTTTCATTGAATCTATTTAACTAATT